GGAAGATAGAGTCATAGAATAGAAACAGGAGAAAACTGAACAAGCAAGAGTAGTTTTAAAAACTACATCAAGCCTTAAGATTAGTGCATGACTGACATATACATCTGGCATACTGCATATTGTTATTTATTCATTTATTTGTTTGTTAAAAGATGTACATGGCCACCCATCTTGTGACATCCAAGTGTAGGCAACTAACAACAGAGGTTAAACAACAATAAAAACAATACAACCAAAAAATCAAGAAAAATCAAGCACCAAATCCAAGAACTACACTGATTCACTTATTGAATCCCCCAGGATCCAAACTTACTGTCCCAGTGCCTGGGGGCAAAGCCAGCTCTTCATGGCTTTCCAGGTAGCTGAGAATTTGTCAGATGTCAGGAGAAGGCTGTTACAAAGGCACAGGCTACTATGGAAAAAGCATGATTCCTAGATCCCATTCCATGGCACCTGGACCATGCAAATTATCCAATCTAGTGGAAAAGACAAATATCCTCAGAGCCACGTAGGGCTTTATGTCGTTTTACCTTTTTTTTAAAAAAAAATGGAGTGGAAGCATGAAGTAATGGTGAGAGTGACCTTGGGTGATTGGGCAAAGAAATATTGCCTAAGGAATGGTCAGATAACAGGGAGCAAAGCACATGGCTGCATGGTGGGTGGAGCAAAAAGGTTCAGAAAAGATCTTACCTAACTTATCAGGCTGTAAAGGTGAAAGCAGGAGAATTGTACTTTCAGACTTACACGTTTCTGTTAACATAGCTTATCGATAAACTAGAAATAGCTTATCTGGCTGTGTGTCTTGTCGGGTCTACCTGCTCATCAGAAGAATACTTCAAAGGTGGATTTATACAAAAGATGTACTTAACATGTATGGAATGAGATGGTCCTCCAAAGAATGGGCATTGCAAATCCATCAAGAAAATGAAACTATAATATTTATGACACATGACACACAACAAGAGCATTCAATTATTATCAATTAAATTTATAAGGGAGATTCAAGGGATACTTATGCTGAAAAATCTACAAACATAAAAGTTCGGCAAAAAAAGACAGTATTCATAAACTGCTAATAGACTAATAACTAATAAAGAACAAAATGTATTGATGATTACCATTCTCGGGAAGCAGCATATTGTTATGTATTCATTTGTTTGTTTGTGAAAAGGAGTATATGGCCGCCCCTGTACAAATAAAGTGAATGGAATTAAAAATAAAAGTAAAGAAATTATTTTGAATGAATATGAACTGAAGGAATGTGTGTGGGAGTATTTGAGAAGTCTGCATGGAATCAAGAGTAATACAGAAACAAATGCTATAAATATTATTAACAAAGGGGATGCAAGGAAGAGACTGTTGAGAAATGCTGAAGCTGGAAAAACAGACAATATAGTGGGAGAAATCTTAAATATATATATCGTTTGTCTATGGAATGACGGGATATTGACACTGACTCCCCTAAGAACTCAATACCAGCAATATTCAAGGAACTGATGCATTCCCAAACAGCTGATACTCCAAAGAAACTACCCTCTAAATATAACAAAGCCCAGCCAAGCTATGAAGAAACCCACTCTCTGGAGATGTGACTTATATGAAGGCTGCATTGCTATACCCAACAATGGGAAGAATGCTGCTAATGTTCCCCTTGGATGAAAGAAAAGCTAGCAAGGGTTAGTGTTATACTGGAAATAGTTTGTCCTGTATACCTCATCTGGCATTTGCAGAATTCTGAGTACAAGAGGTGACAATTAACACAATTTGGAAAGTGCAGAAAGGGACGGGCAGGTTTTTTGCTCATCATCAAGCAATGTATCAATGAACATTTATTTTATAGGTGTGCATTTAAAAGAAATACTTGCGGTTTGGTCATGTAGAGAATGAGTGCAAATCCAAGGGCAAAACAAATACAGGTAGTCCTCAACTTACGACCACAATTAAGCCCAAACTTTCTGTCGGCCACAGTTGCTGTTAAGTGAATCACTGCCATTGTTAAGCTAGTAACAGTTAAGTCAATCTGGCTTCCCCATTGGCTTTGCTTGTCAGAAGGTCGCAAAGTGTGATCACCTCACCCTGGGGACACTGCAACCGTCATAAACATGAGTCAGTTGACAAGCATTTTTGATCACGTGATCGTGGGGATGCTGCAACGGTCATAAGTGTGAAAAACGGTTATCAGCCACTTTTTTCAGTGCCGTTGTCATTTTGAACGGTCACTAAGTGAACTGTTGTAAGTTGTGGACTACCTCAAAGAAAAGTGGATGGGTCAAGACGATAATTAAGCAAGTCACAGTTGGATATAATAATCAGGTTTACAAATGAGAGACGAGGCATTTAAAGAGTAGCAATGTGTGAAGCAGAAGCAACAGTTTACAAAGACAAAAAGGAATAAGGAGGTATGGTGGAACGGCATTGGCACACATTAAAATAAACTGCGGTTTCTAATTTTTCAAAACATTGTGTCTGAATTTGGTCCCCCCCCCCCTTTTTCTGTGTTTTGCACAAGGTTGCTTACCATGAAAGTGAAAAAGGTAAGGTGTGTTATTTGTCAAAATTTATATGGCCAAAAAACCCCGCCCCCCCATCTAAAGTGACTATGGTCCGAGAATTAAACAAAGAATTAAAACAGTTCGTAAACCCCTAAGACAATACAGATAAAACAAGTCGAGAGGGGAGATGCTTGCACACAGTATAACCACAGTGCAGGTCCCAGCCAATGTTTTGATCATTCTGAATAGTCTGAAGGTTGGTGAAATGTTGTGGCCAATACAATATCACTATAGTTCTTTGGATGCTGTTATACAATCAAAATGATCATTATTTATAGCAGGAGTGTCATGCATCATGTAAGCCAAGACAGCTGCTGTAGTTTTTATCACAAAAGGTTTCCATACTCATGTTTAGCAGCAGTATCAACAACAGGATCAGCATATTAGTTTTATCGTGTGAGCTCATCATTCATTTATGAGGAAAAATGATGCCTGGCTTAACATTATAGTCAAAAGGTTACAAATAGCTGAGTGTGGCTTTTATTTTTTTCCATGTAGGCAAACATTGGTTACATTCATCTGTCAAAGCCACATAATTATTCACAGATATCCTAATTCAGTAAATGACGTGCTTTCAGCAGGACAATTATAATTTGCTGCAACATTTGGTGGTACAACATCCTATTCATCAACCTTCGAGTTAAGTATAGCTTTCAGTTTCGGTCTTCATTAAGATCATAGTCCAACATAAATGGATGGGCTACAATCATTAGGAAAAAAGCTTAAAAAATGACAAGGAAAAAAGCTAAAAATGTAGAAGATACAAGCGATGGAAGATTAAAAAAGGAGTATCTAAAAACAATAATATATACCTGTGGTGACGAACCTATAGCAAGCGTGCCACAGGTAGCACACAGAACCCTCTCTGTGGGCACCCGTGCCGTCGCCCCGTCCTAGGCCTTCAGCTGGGTTTTATAAAACCTTTTCGCTTTAGGCCACTGCCGTGTGCAAAAAAAAAGGTTCAATCAATCAATTTCAACTTCTTGTGGGGAAAAAAAAGATCTCGCAAAGTTGGAATTGATTGAACTTTTTAGTCCCACCCAGTCTGCCGTTACCACCGCAGCCACACCCACCCAATTGGCCATGCCTGCCCGGCACCCGATGATACATAAGTGGGCTTTGAGTTGCAGTTTGGTCTCTAAAAAGTTCGCCACCACTGATATATACAGTGTGCAAAATAATAAGCTAAATATTTATGAGACTCAGAAAACAGTATAAACAGAAAACTGTATCAAAATGGTAATCTACAAAGATGAGTATTAGTAAGGTAGAGGAAAGCATGTATGTATATAGTATATACAAGTAGTCCTCAACTTGTAACAGGTCATATAGTGACCAAAGTTACAACAGCGCTGAAAAAAGTGACTCATGATCATTTTTCACTTATGACCATTGTAGCATCCCCATGGTCATGTGATCAAAATTCGGACACTTGTAAACTGACTCATATTTATGACTTACATTCAGATACTCGAGAACTAATATATATTTATGATGGTGTCCTGATCCCCTTTTGCAACCTTTTGACAAGCAAAGTCAGTGGAGAAGACAGATTCCCTTAAACTGTGTTCCTAACTTAACAACTGCAGTGATTCACTTAACTGTGGCAAGAAAAGTAAAATGGGGCAAAATTCACTTAACCGTTTCACTTAGCAATGGAAATTTTGGGCTCAACTGTGGTCATAAGTCAAAGACTACCTGTAACTAATATGGAAAAGTAGATGAGACATTAAGTCTATTTTATAATATTGAGTATCAAGCACAAGTAATTTCCCATGGATTTTGGGAGTTGCTGCCCAGAAACTTGATTTTTATCCTGCCTTTATTATTGTTTATAAATAACTCCAGGCAGCAAACATATCTAATAAATCCTTCCTTCTCCTATTCTCCATAAACTATACCTTTACAAATTATAAAAACTAAATTAAAAACACAACTAAACTTAACCCTGAAATCTTATATTTGAGAAGTATTCATTTCCCTCTCCCCTAACTAAACTAACATTTAGCTTTCTCTCTTCTAACTTCCAGCTGTGCCATAAAATTTCGTGATTCTTTTAAAAAGGTCTTAAATAAAAAATGCTAGCTGCAATAGTTAGGGTGGTCTTTGTTTCTGCCGAGCGGCAGCTTCTACCGTGCTTTGGAAACAACATGCAGACTATTAATCATTCATCAAGGATCACTATCATGTGCATTACATAGCAGTTTACATAGCTATTGATTGTATGATTCATCATTGCCATCCCCAAGTGAACTTTATCACTGCCAGCGAGCAAATTTAACATACCTACTGTTTCATACTTCTTCTTTATAACAATATAACTTCCCAAATAGTAAGATTTACTAAGCATATTAAGCTCCGCAAGTCTGACACGTCTGTCATCAATAGTTAGCATTAGTGTGGGCCCACAAGTTTTGCACGCTGGTTTTACAGATAAGATAGACTACATTTATCTTTCTAATAATCCTTTATTTACAAAATTTACACATTAAGTAGGCATTACATATAGGCACAGAATCAAGCATGCAGCCAAGGCTAATTAAAAAAAACAACAACCTAAAATGGTAAGTCAATTCTTTCATCAACCTAAATCTAGAAATTACTTATGTTCAGCTTTTCTTGAGTGTATTATCCTGATCTGCTTCTTCCACTCTACAGAATGACATCAACCAAGTTACCGTCATCATTCACAGGCCCTATGGAAGTACAGGGCACTTTCCCCTTCAGTCTTAAAAATAGATCACAGAATCTGCACACAGCAATGTATTCTCATATTCATATATATATAGAGAGAGAGTAACAGATCAATTTGAAATTAATGCTCAACACATAGCTGTTCTGTCCAAAGCCTGCTTTGGATAAAAATATGCAAGAAAACAAAAATGGACTTTAGCTTTAAAGAACTGATTGATAACATTTTGCTCTAAAATAAGATTAATTATCCAAAGGCTTTGTATTAAGCTTTCTTCTAACCTCTTTTCAGTGTGTCCAACAGCCCACTGCTAGTTGATTCAAAGCTGAAATAAAGTTGTATAAGCATTTGTTTTTGTTAATGCTGAGAGTCAGTCAAGTCTCAGAGCTGGACTATGCCTGTAGGTTTCTATGCTTTCAATTTTACTGAAGTCATTGAAAACAGGGTAAATTACCCTTCTCACAACCATCTATTTATTCTTAAGTCTGAGAGTTGAGACAAGAATGTCGGAAGGAAATCGGTTCCCATTTGGGAACTCATGCACTCCCGTTCATACTTGTTAAAGTTAGTAAGGGTATTTAATACATTTGATAACTTGGGTATATTCAAAAAGTTTATGCATTCTACTTCAATTTTAACTATGTTTATGTTTATGTTGAAACATAATTCTCAGGGCATTCATCTGATGACAGGTGATTTTAAAAAAAATATTATATGTAGGAATAAAGTAGCATGGAACAATTTACAAGAGGTTTAAATATTTGTTTATGCCTCTTAAAAAACATACCCACAGCAAACTGATTTCAAAGTTAAGAGTTATTTCAAAACCAGTTTGTTGTAAAATGTTCAAAGAAAACTATGATGTGCCATTTTTTTCTCCTGCCAAATACTGATATGTAGTTTAATGGCATTACTGATTTTAAGCATGTCTCCAATCAGAAAAACTGATGAGCCATTGTACAAAGCAGCCAGTGTATTGAGCTCCAACCATTCAAATAGTTAATTCCTTTGATCCAACTTGAAATATACAGTGCAAGTTATACTTAATGCCTGATTTTTTTAAAAAAGAAGGTGAGGCATTTGGTTTATCTGGTACTAAGGATACACTTGTTTCTAAATAACCCCTTAAGCCTGGAAAGAATGTAAGCACAACATTCAGAAGATTAAAATAGTATCTCAAATAATTTGTATTTTCCTATACCAGGCACCAACTTATTCCCCTATCCACCTTTACAATCATTGCAGCATAAAGTAACAGGAAAATTAGTTTATTCATATTTTAATGCACTTCAAGTTTTGAAACAGGGAAGATATAAAACTGGTAAACTGCTTTGTAGGATCCATGCATTTAGTTTAAATTTTCACTTTCGGGAACAGCTGAATCAAGGCATATAAACACGCACACATACGTGCATGTGCACACACACATGCACACGTGGGTACACACTTGGGATACCCCTAGAGAATCTGAAAAGCAAATGGCTCAATGAATAGGCTACTAACATAGCTGTCTATATTCTTTGCCCCCTATAAAGCAGCAATGGAATTGATCAAAACCTAGCTGATCTTATCTATTAAATCAACAAGAGTGGTCAAGATTTCTCATTCAAGTGACTTTAAGTGCAACTTAGTGTAATTATGCATTTCTGGTCATTTTAGGTGATCACATAAAGAGCACACCCCCAATTTCCTCAGAAGAACCTCCAAGAGACATATACCTATTCTGTGAAATTCCTAATTAGCCCATTTCTTTTGGATTCAACCCACCATTTAACTTCAACATTACACATCGTGTTTCAAATGGAAATGTTCTACGCATACATTCTATGCATGTATAAAGATGTTTGCGAACCACAGCGCCTATTTCATGTAACTCAAATGTTCTTTTTGAAGCAATGCGCATTTCAGCAAATGCAATCAAAATGTAAACTTCTAAATAATAATACATTGTATCTTAATTCTTTTCTGGTTGCTTTAAACTGCAGGATATACATAAAATAATACATAACCTGTATTTTTATTTCAGTTGGTTTTGAGCAAAACGCAATATTCCCCAGCTTTTTTAATAAAGCATCACAAATTCAAATTTGATCCCAAACATACTGCCACGGTGTGATACAAAACATTCCATGCACAGTGTTTTGATGACCTGGTTGAACATTCTCATCATCCTGTCCAACTAGCAGCTCCTCTTCTGTATCCCAAAGCCTGCTATAGCTTCACCAAAGATTGAGACAGGCTGGAAAGTAGATAAAGAATTTGTCCTGACAGAACCTACTGGGTCTTCAGACAAAAAAGATTGGCTGTAACACATGGAACTCATAGGTCCAAAGTGGCTCAAATCACATACTGCCACTTACGGAATACTACGGACAGAATTAATGATATTAACCAATTTGCTCAACAGATTTTAATCAAGCTTAATATGAGGTATAATTACATAAAACATACAGTTCACATATAGGAACATTTTTGCATTTCTGAAACGCATCCCAGTCGGTTTCAATACCCGACAGTCAGTACCTGTACCACTGATTTTCTTTTGATTTGTGGAAATAATAAAGTCAGCATTTCAACTTAGTGAGTTAGACTAGAATAATAAAAAGTAAAGGTTAAAATTCCTTCCTTGTATTTGATCTCCGCACATTATTTCTTGATAAAAGAAAGGCCAGCCACAGTATTTAAATGTCAGTTCAAAGAAATCATCAAAGGAAGTCAAGGCTGAACTTCCTATTCTTTTCTCTTGTTTGAAATCCCCTCAGGTAGCAAAAAAAGGTCATCTTGTTTTTATAAATATACATAAGCCAATAATTCACAGCCAAATAGCCAGTTCTCTTTTGTACAATATTTGTGCAGAGTTAGAATCATCTGATTTTAAGTCTTGACATCATCCATTCAAGTCCTTGGCATAATCTGTAAAAAAATTAAACAAGTATATAACTTCATTAATACAGATCATTTGTGACAAACTTCAAATCACAGCTAAGGTTTTTTTTAAAAAAAAGATATATTAAGGCTTCCATTCTCATAACTTTATAAAATATATGGAAATCATATAAACTTCACTAAAGTAATGTGCTATAACCCGTAACGCTTTCCATTTTGAAATCCAGGGACAGATCTGAGTTCTAGTTTCTGGTAGGGAAAATATGGTTTAATTGCCTCCAAAAGAAGACAATGTCACACCAAAGTTTCACCCCAGTTACTCGGGGGGGGGGCATGATTTTTCTTCCTCTGATTTAAAGGGGAAATCTGGTATCAACCAATCAGTCCTCCTAAGAAGCTAGTCACAGAAACAGGGGTTTTCTCTGATGGGAGCAACAGGGAAGGGGGGGGGGTGTCTTCCATCAAGTTCGCAGCTGTGACACAGCCTAAATTTAGGGCCACTGGATTTGACCTTATTTATTTCTAATGCAATTTTTGGATTATAATTTATTCTTCAGTTAAAGGGAGAGTTTCTTCTGATACAAACATGTATTTTTCTTTGGTGATTTTCATGAACTCTGGGATTGTAATATTTAGAAATGTCTGAGAATTTGACTGATTTTTCCATGCCTTACAAAAAGCTGAGAAGTAAAGTTATTAAAATATTTAAGTGGAAAAAAATAACATTTCTTTTTAAAAGAGCAAATAGAAACAACCTCTTGTGTGGGGAAGCTGATTGTTTACATTATCAATTGTAAAACTAAACTTTGAAGGTCGATTGCCAGAGCATAATATGGCTACTCTAAAAGAAATATTTGATTTATGGAGTGGTGAAGTGCTTGGACTTTTTAATTCTTTACTGGAACCAGAGGTTACTATTGGCGATCAACAAATCCCTTACTTATATCTGCAGACCTTACTTTATGTAGTAGATCTTTATTTTAAAAAAAGTATTCATAAACAAAATAATTCTTACCCTTCGCCAGTAAGAGCGCAGCATGCCTGGATGTGCCACTGGTGATCTTTAATAGATGTTAGTTTCAGGAACTGAGAAATTTCAGCTACCGTCATGCAGTTTTTAACATCCTGTTTGTTAGCAAAGATGAGCAAGCCTGCTTTTCTCAAGTCCTATAGTAATATATATACATATATATACATACATATATCCTCAGTTTAATTTCTCTCCTGTTATACCACTAAACTACTATAATATTCATTGTTGAATTTAACACTTAGATTTAAATTAATATTGATTTGAAAAATGCACTAAACCAACACAAATTCTATGCAAAATCACACCAGAGCAGCCCCATGTCAAGCAACCAAAATTTAACTAAAAGGTCACTTCCAGCAATTCTAAGAAATATTTACACTTAAACTTGAATGAGTTTCTAAGACGATAATGAACCATAGCTATGACACACTGTCAAACATCCACGCTTTTTATATAATGTAGGGCAGGAGTCTTCAAACTTTGCCCTTTTATGACTTGTGGATTTCAGCTCCCAGAATTCGTTAGCCAGGCGTGCCTGGCTGAAGAATTCTGGGAGTTGAAGTCCACAAGTCATAAAAGGGCAAAGTTTGAAGAGCCCTGATGTAGGGATATCATTGTTCAGAGAATGTTGATTCACAATTAGAAAATATTGTGATGTATGCAAAACCTAAATACTAACAACTTCTTAGAACAAAGGGACACACTTTCGGTATTAAATTATTTAATGTTAAATATGGGGTAAGTGGAATGTTGGTGTTGCTGTCTATACAGCTGTTGGTTTGCAAGTATTTGAGGTAGGGTATGTGGATGGACAAGACTTCTTAACCTTCAGTGCCTATGATTTCCTATCCAAATGTGCTGATATATTCCCCACCCATTTAAAATTTGCAAATGGAGAGCAAATCTGGCATCTACCTTGTCAGAGTCATACCAATTGAATTTAATTTCCATAATACAGCGTTTAAAATATGAGCATTTAAAAATAATGTTCTTTCATTTTTGATCCATGATCAAAAATTGTAATGCTTATAAAACCTTCCTTTCTTTCAACTTAACATAATAAAAAAATAATTAAAGGGAATCATTTTACATGGCACTTTTATCCTAATATCCTAACATGGTCTAATATGTAGGTGCTGTCAAATAAATGCAATTAAATACCTTATATCACCTCTGCTATCATCTCCCAGAATATACTTACTTCACACAGACTATGCTCATGACAGTTTTAATAACAAAACATATCATACTTTTCCTTTCTCTTGAAGAAATTTGGGGCTATTATTTTGGAAAACATAGATACTAATTTCTACAACTACACTTTACTATTCCCTTAAGTAACATGCAAAATCTTTTTTTAATTTGTAGTGAAAGAGTCAGTCGTAACAGATATTGTACTACTCTAAAAATTATTATTAAATCTAAAAGTTTCCCAATCTGGGTGAAAAAAACTTTTTTTTAATACCATTCTGGAGGTGATTACCAACATGGAAGAACAATCAGAAACCAGTCACAAACTTAAGTATCAATTTAGAAATTGTTTTTCTGCTTCAGTCTTGTTTTAAAAAAGTACTTACCTCATGTGCTAACATTTTATACAGTTCTTCTTTAGTTACAGAAATTCTCTCTCTGTCTGTGCTATCCACAACAACTATCACAAACTGTAAGAATCAGAGATATTTGTAAATTAAGAATGTCCACACATATCTTGAATCTTAATCAGAGAAAGATTGAGGCTGTCTCCATAAAGCAATCCCTTATAAGAACATTATCAATTAAGACAATTATAATATTGCAAGAATTTATGATGGCATGCTAAATAAAACTGCCCAATCCAACAAGGAGTTCTGTGTCATTTTCTGAGAAGTGTATCCAATACGCAATTGCCATATTTTTGGCAGCTTCATTGTTTAACAGTATTCTATTAAATATTAGAACGGCATAACTACTCATCCAAATGCCCAATATAAACAAACATTCTTAGAAAATTGTTAATGCTAGCCTCATAACCTTGTTTTTAAATAGCACCTAAGTTGTTAGAGTTTTGCTTCTAATCCAGTAAAAGATACATGTATTTTTTCTGGCAGTACCTTAATTTGTATTATTGATTTCATCTTTTTGTTTAATGTATTCTTTAGTTCACACTGATCCCAAAGACAGTGTGCTACTATGAGTCTGTTGCCTTCTGCACCCCAACAGCTTTAGCCAGCTAGTGAGGAATGTTTAACTCTTTTCATAATGATCCTGAAATAAGATTTCAGGACACAATCTTTCCTGCACTATTTGAAAGATATATACGATTCTTCAGTTAGGTAAAACTTATGAATAATATAGATAATTTCATAGCAGCTTCACTTCATGGAAGGTCAGGTGTCATAGTTATTTATATCTGTCACATATAGGTCTAATGTATATGTTCTCCAAGTGTTTTCAAGAATTGTAAACCAAATAAATTACAGGTATGTCTTGAAAAAAGATGAAAACCATCTTATTCCTCCACATGCAAGCACATAAATACACATGCCCACACACATCCTATTCTCATCTACAGGAGGTTGTTGGTTCTGTCTCAAAATCTGCCCTATCATTTAACAGAAAAGTGAACTCTGATTTTGATTACTGAGTTAATGTCAAAGCAAGCATTTTCCCTTCAAAATATATCTACATCTATTTTAAATGTGGTATATAAATGTCTTGCCCAAAAGGCAACTGTTAACTCTAGAAGTAGGCACTTTGAATAGGCACTTTAAATTAATAGGCTATTTTAAGTAAACAAGTTCTTCTGTTTCATTTTAATATCAACAAAGCAAATTATTGATTCATATCTTAACGTTTCATATGAAATAACCCACAACAATATATTTTAGAGTCACCACATCTGGGGTAAAAATATCCAAACAACCATTACAAGGCAGCAAAGAAAACATTTGCTACTATCCAAAAGTTGTCTGGGTTGCTGTACTTCAGATATGGTGCCCCTACTTCCAAGATTTCCCTATAGGGGTTATGCTCTTACCTCAGTATTTGTATAATATGTGTTCCATGATGATCGAAGAGATTCTTGGCCTCCAATATCCCACATAAGAAAACGTGTATTATTAACTACAATCTCTTCCACATTGCTACCTATTGTTGGGGAAGTATGCACTACTTCATTCATAGAACTGCAAAAAAAAAAATTCATTTTCTTTTCTATGGTGATAGTGATCTAAGTTATAAAAATATAATTGCATTTATTTCTGAAATATTTGTAATATAATTCTACATATTTCAGTAGAACTGAATTCTGAGCACAGAATTTAATTCTTTATTCCTTTGGTGCAATCTTTTTTTTTTTGCAACAGTCTTAAAAATAAGAATATTTCATTCTATTCTAAATTAATAAAAATAATTATATTGCCAAATATGATTATTTGCAAATCTTAAAATTTCCTTCTGGGCAACACTGCACACTTGGGTGATGCTGAAATTTTCAATTTTTCCCTCTTTATTTGAAGAAAGGTTTTCTTGTTTTTCTTTATAATTTTAATATGTAAAGCCTCATTTAGGGCTTACACTGTAATTTTAATCTTTCCTACCTTAAACCTGGTAAGAAATCATGAGGTTGCGGGATTATAAATACAAACATACATACATACATACATACGGAGATTTCAGCCTATTGCTGTCAAGGGCAGCATTTTAAATTGACAAGGCAATTCAAATCTCACTTGTTCATGTTACTTTATACTTACAACTGATAAAGAATAGTAGTTTTTCCTGCATTATCAAGCCCAACTATTATCACTTTGTGCTCTGCAATGAAAAACAGAAAAAGAAAAAAGATTGGTTGAGCATATGGTCATGTTTATGCCTCACACACCCTTGCCACTGGCAGAAATACTGGAGCTGATGGGAAATGCACCCCAAAATATGTGGAGGTCACTAGGTTGCCTATCTGTAGTCACACATTCCATAATCACCTATTTAACTGTTTTTACTGTGAACTGTACAGATAATCCTTGACACATAATCATAATGGAGCCTGCTCATTAAGTCATAAAGTTGTAGTCTGAGCTTGGTTGTTTTCTAGCACTGATGATGTTAGCTAGTTTGATAATGAAACGCCTGCGAGAAAACAACCAAGCTCAAAGAGCAGCAAAGACCCCATATAGACACTATTTCCTTCCCTGGCAATTATTTCTATCTCCACTCGTATAAATCATGAGCATGTGGAACAGAGAATTTCAGCTTATCATACTACATCACTACCTGTATTAAGACCACCTTGGAAATAAACTTCCAACACATTACAGGTAGTCCTCAACTTACAACAGTTCATTTAGTGAATGTTCAAAGATACAACGGCACTGAAAAAAGAGACTTGACCATTTTTCACACTTATGACCATTGTAGCATCCCCATGGTCATGTGATTTACATTCAGATACTTGACAACTGATATATATTTATGACGGCTGCAGTGTCCCAGGGTCATGTGATCACCTATTGTGACCTTCTGTCAAGCCAGGTCAGTGGGGAAGCCAGATTCACTTAACAACTGTGTTACTAACTTAACTACTGCAGTGATTCACTTAACACATGTGGCAGAAAGTTGTAAAGTGGGGAAAACTCACTTAACAAATGTCTCATTTAGCAACATAAATTTTGGGTTCAAATGTGGTACCTGTACAACAATGTATATATATATACTGCTCAGGTCTCTGTATGTTTTTCGACAAAGAAATGATTATCATATGACAATGAATGCTTGGGGACTTCAGAGTACTAATAAAATATTGAGGTGGCTCCATTGTCATTAATACCTGCTCTTTGCCTAATACATATTTTTATGTTTCTATAATTCTAAACCTTTTAATAGTAATTGTAATAATTTACAATATTTTGTAAACGTTTTGTATGAAATTCATTCGATATTATCAGTTTTGTTTTCTAAATGAGGCCTAATATATCGTATGTAAAACAAATAAAATATTAGCTATTTTTTGTGTTTTCAATTTTATTCTTTCAAAATGTATTCCACACACTGTTATTATGAACTTTAATTTACTTTCTGAAGTTATTCTTCAAATGTCAAATTATAATTATATACAAAATTCTGGAGACCCAGTAGCAAGAGGGTACAAAAATTTGACAATTAGACAAAAGTATAAATTACAAGCCTTGTCAGCATAATATCATTCAACCAAAATTTAGCACTAAAAAAAAAATGACAGCAGGTGGTCTTGGATTTCCATGCTACATCTGCAGCATTGCCCAAAAGTGCAGTTTTACAACTTCCTCTTAATTTTAAATTAAAGCAGTTGGTTATGACACCAGAATCTGCACAAATTCTAGTTATTATTAACTATGATTTGTAGTATTGTTTATAAACCACGTTTTGCAAATTTTCTGGTTTTACTGTATTGCATCAAGATTAACCACTATTTCAGATTTGGAATCTAAAAGAGAAATACTCCACATTTGACCGACAAAAATAGTAGTAACAAAGGCCAAGAGTTACTGTGGTTTCATAGTACTGAACTACAATTCAATGCTACATTCAAATTAAACCAATAATAACCCTAACACAACACTAATTCCTTTACTTTGAGTGTTGGTAGAAAGAGTTAGTGCAGATAGTCAATTAATATTGTTTTATCTATGGAGCCTCAATTCTCTCCCCACAATGTGAACTGAGAATTCAAGCTAAAGAACACACAATAAAAAAAAATTCTACCAAGCATACAATTTTTTAGATATTCAGATAAATTTTCTACCGAGGTTCTCTAAATGTTAAAATATTAGATTAAAAGCAATTACATTGCTTTAAATAGAGAATAAAAGAATCTGTATAATTTTTTAAAAGTGGAAGCGACAAAGTCCCATTCGTCATCTTCAGGCTGGTGTTTTCAGCTTCGTGCTTCGAGCAGCTGCAGTATCTCCACAGTCACATGATCAAAATTTGGACCCTTGACAACTGACTCATATTTATGACAGTTTTATTGACTCACGTGATTACTTCTGTGACCTTCTGACAAGCAAAATCAATGAGATTCACCGAACAACTGCAGTGATTCACTTAACAACTGTGGCAAGAAAGGTGGTAAAATGGGGAAAAATTCATTTCATAACTGTTCTCGCTTAGCAATGGAAAGCTGGGGCTCAATTGTGGTCGTTTAAGTCAAGGACTAACTCTTCTTGATCTCAAAAATTTAACAAGGATCACTTGCTTGAAATTGAGAGTCCATTAAGTTACCCAAAGACCGTGTGCACACTGCTGTGCCATCCTTCCCCATTCCCAACTCAAATCAAGGAGCATCCTTCTCCTCTCCCAACAAGAGGGCCCCCTCAGAAAACCCACAAACACCAACAGCTGAACAGTCCATAGCTAGAAAAAACGCATTGCCCAAATTATTGGATTTTTTTTTTGTCTCACACTTGTTTATACGTATGGCCCTTGGTTTCCAAACTTGTGTTAGACAAGTAAAAAAAAGTATTTTATGCAACTAGAATTGACTTAATTACTTATTTCCATATGAAATAATCTTAAATTTTCTCAATTGATGCAAAAGGCCTAAGCATACAGTTAAGTATTAAATAGGCTCTTTAAAAAAAAAACCTAGCTTGCTGGGTATTTCCTCATCATTTGTGGTTCTTCCTGTCCAAACAAGGATATGTAACTACAGTGATCCTGTATCCTGCATCCTATTTGTATTATTTAATAATACAGGGGTTGGATTCTGAAGAAAAAAGATATTTCAGCTTGTGTAAAATATTCTTTGGTTGGGCTGTTTACTAATGGCTTTTTGGCAGTTTCTTGATTGGGGTATTGCTTACTTGACTGTTGGTCTGAAGTTGACCTTGGAGATAATCTATGCTGATCTGAGTGCTGATTACTGGTGGAGAGGTGCTGGAGTCTTCTCCTCTTTTGTCCCAGAACAGCCCAAGCAAAGAATCCCTAAGACTGCCCCCACCCACACAGACAGGCAAGACACCAGAATATAAACCAGAGGTCTTCAAACTTGGTCCTTTTATGACTTGTGGATTTCAACTCCCAGAATTCCTCAGCCAGGGGAGTTGAAGTCCACAAGTCATAAAAGGGCCAAGTTTGAAGACCCCTGATATAAACTGACAGCAAACAGCACTCCTTACTAGTACTGATGATATTACTCAGTTAGGGTAATGAAACGTCTACAAGAAAACAAGCAAGCTCAGAGTGCACCAAGGACCCCTTATTTCAACCCTGAGCTACAAATATTCTCCTTCATTGGTACCATATGCTTTACTGGTGGCCCATATTATTACTTTTTGGTACCAAATTAATATATCTCCCCAGACATTTTCATACAGTAATACCCAGATTTTGGCAGTAGTGTATTTTTTTTAACTTTGTGCTAAATGGTAATAAACTAGTATTGGAATTGTGTTTATTATATTTGATGAATGTTAGATGTATTCCCTGGTTGTTTTATGCAGTGCACAATTTTATTTACATAGTAAATTTTACTGTATTTTGTTTTTGAGTTTTATTCTGTTATCATCTTGGAGACACTAGCATGATGGCACATAATAGGTAAGTTTAATCCCACTGCATTATATCTAAATAATTATTTAATAAATAGCTTTTTATTCTAAATAATGGAATAACTATAATGCAGAAGTGCAGATCAGCTGTTGTATTACATTTAAAAGCAATCATAGTAGTTACCCCATGACTGACAAGATATGTGCAACAACAACATGAACTAATCTCTCTCAATTACCTCCTAAGGGAAAGAAATAATGGCAAAGCAATGACACAGGATGCTTAATTAAAGATTAACATTAAAATTTTCTTCTGCAAGACCCAAACACTTGAATATTTCATTTTAACTTTAAGTGAAGCTCAAAGAGTCACTAGTCTTCACGTGCTTGACGGTATAAAATATTTTATTTGCAGAGGTAGTCCTCAACTTACAACCACAATGGAGCCTGGAATTTTGATCATAAATCATTCCAGTTGAGGATTGTGACTGGGCTCCATCATAAGAGCAATTTTACAATGATCATAAGGCGAGTCGACAGTTATAAAGTGAATCACATGGTCATTGGGCAAATCCTTTCTTCCAAATTGCATTTCTTTGCTGGAAACCAGCAAAAACTGACAAATCACAATCAGTTGTAAATGTGAGCCAGTTGCCAAGCATCCAAAACGTGGTCAATGACTGCTGGAGGGAGCAGCAGTTATAACTTTGAGGACAGGTTGTAAGTAACTTTGGAAATGTCCATCATAACTTTGAATGATCATTAAGCAACTAATTCTATATCGAGGATACTGTACATATAATAACATTATCAGAGTCTTTCTGTGAGTCTGAGAAGCATCAAAGTAATGGATGAAATAAGTCAGTCTTACAGTTTCAGAACAACGCATAAGTTATCTATGTACCCAAACATACATATATAGTGGAACTCCTATTTGCCCAATTCTTCTCCTTTCAGTTAAGCTCCTATTACAGCATTTCAATTATTGATGGGGCAGAAACAAGAGAGCTAAATCCTCAGCTCTGAGTTGGTTTCAGGTGGCACCTGCTCAGATAATACAGCTCAAACCCTGCAAGAAGCAAACTGTGTTTCCCCCCCTAAAGTACATAAAAGATGAAAACAGAAAATAACCAAAATCAACCTCCAGAATTCTGTAGATAAAAGGTAAATATTTAAAAACTCTCTTATCTAGTTCTTTCACACCCTCCCTCTGAACTATTTCAATGTGTTTTTCAAGCTTAAGTTTTCAAAGGAAATTCTGTATTTGGCAAACAAATGTAACTGATATTCCTTAACAATTTGTTATACTACACAATTAATTTAATACTATTCCGTGATTCTTACACTATTTTACATTTAATAAAGGCTTGATAATATAATTTCAATACATTACAATGAAGATTCTGTAACTTTATAGAACTCTCTTGTTAAACTACAAACCTGTAGCAAACCCAAACTTATCATTTTATCATAGCTTTAGTGCCCACCTAAAAAAAGCCAGTATTACATCATTCATAAATCTCTCTCCTGACATTCAAACACCACAAATTATTTTGGCACATTTGAAAAAATATCCTGCTGAATTTGACTACAGGCCTAATAATCCAGCAAGTTGCATATGAAAAGCACACAACCAGCAAGCAAGGATAATAGCATTCTCCTCCTAACATTTTAAACAGTTTATAATATATAGTTTTCATTACTGACAACCTTATCTCCTACAGCTTTACCTAATCCTCCTCTGAAATCATTCAAGATACCATAGTGGTCGTAACTACATTGTATGTGCTAGTGAGTTCTAGGTTTAATTATGTAAACTATGAAGGAATTCTCTGCACTATAGTTTCATAAAAAGCATTAGGGGAAGAGACATGCAATATCTGAAGGACTGATACAAGTAACCTATGAAGCCAATAATTTATTCAAGAGCCACACTGCTTAGCATACAAATTATTTCACTTTTTAAAGAGGAATTTATCTGTTAACATGTTACTATTGCTGTGCCCCCTTAGCCTCCACTGAATAAGCCACAATGGTGAAATCCAATGTTTCTCTTTGTTTTTTAAGCAGCAAAGTAAGGTTCAAAACAATATCCCAAACCACTGTCTTTACTTTTAAAATTTAAGCCAACATGGGAGGCATTCTGGGAAAGAAAGAGATAACCATCATTTCAACTACCTCATGTTTTCAGGACTGTAAGTACATAATCTATAAAAAGTAAAAGCAAGGTGCCACAAGTGGTTGGCCAAGGTGGTTATTAACAGTGTCACGCACTGCTACTATACTGCCTTTTCTAATAGAGTGGAACCTTGATTCAACTGCTTTGAAAATCATCCAATTTGATACTCAACGCATTTTGATATGAAAATTTTGTCCCAGTACTCATCATTTGTTTGGTACTCAACTTACAAGCTAGAACCTGTCGGTGTTGGCTGCCTTGTGACTCACTACATTATTCCTTTTGGGGAAAATGTGTTTCCACTCATTTTTGCTACTCCGAACCAATTAACAATGAGCACTGAGGTACCTTGGAGGTCTTCTCATTCTGCTCGAGCAGAAGACCCTATACTATTCCAGACAAGTGAAAGCCTCCAGTGTTGGAGCATTCACAACTTCTGGAGGCAGGTTGTTCCACTGATTAATTCTTCTGTCAGGAAATATCTCTTTAGTTCTAGGTTGCTTCTCTTTTTGGTAAGTTTTCATCGGATGCTTCAGGTGCTTTGGAGAATAGCTTGACTCCCTCTTCGTGGCAGCCCCTGAGATATTGGAACACTGCTATCATGTCCCCCCTCATCCTTCTCTTCATTAAACTAGACATACCCAATTCCAGCAGCCTTTCCTTATATGCTTTAGCCTCCAGTCCCCTAATCATCTTTGTTGCTCTTCTCTGCACTCTTTGTAGAGTTTCGGCTACGGGGCTCTAACTAACTCTGCCTTCTTTTCCCCAAAGTGGTGCTGGGCGTTTCCCAGACGCGTTGCAACTCAGCTCCCAGAATCCCATCGGCCAACAAGGCCAGGACGCGTTGGAGTAGAAGCCCAAAGCACCCGGTTTGGGAGGAGGCTCCCGGGAACCGAACCGAACGCCTTCAAAGCACTCTCCTCCTCCCCCCGCCCTTCTTTTTTTTACAGTGGTCGCCCTGTCTCCCAGGGCGAGGTCAGCCTACCCCCCACGGCCTTCCTTCTCACCCTGGTGGTTAAACAGCCTCCATATCCGGGTAAAGAGGATTCCCATGCTCAAGCGGCCGAAGCTCTGGCTGCCCCTCGGCAGCTCCCCGCGCCCCGCAATCTCGGTCTTCGCGCTCTTCCGCCCGGGCCCAGCCCGAGGCGGCTCACTGTCGGGCCCAGCGCCCCGGTAGGGCCCCGTCGCGTGGAGAAAGAGCAGACAACAACGGGCAGGCCGACGCGGACGAAAGGAAGCGGTGCAGGCCCCGCGCCCTCGAGGCTGTCGTCGTCGTCGTGGTCACCCGCAGCAACGCAACCGCGCGCCCCTGGCCGCTCCTCACGGACATTGCCGCCGGCCTTGCCGCAACTTCTTAAGGGCCTCCTTCTTAGGCTTCGCTTATTCCAGGCCTAAGCGGTCTTAAGGGAGAGCGTGGCTGCCGTAGAATGAGCCTCGCCGGACACCGTCCAGGAGGCGCGTAAGGCGCGCGCCGGAACAATTTTGCCGGCCCGCGGGCACTCGTTCGCCCGCGCGTCTCCCCTTCCGTTTTTCCTGCGCTTTTTGGGGTAAGAGGACAGATGGAGCAAGCATTAGTAGGCGGGGCTACAGAAGAGGGACGCTCATTGGCGCGCTTGAGTTCCTCGCTAACTATATAAACCTAGAAATGCTGTCTCTTCAATTAAGCCCGTCTGTGTTCCCTTCTTTGTGATTGGACGAGAAGCGCTCCTGGGCGGAGCTTGGTAAGAAACAGGCAGGTTTCTTACATCTGGGCTTGGGGCGACCGGGAAGAGCGAGGCTGGGTGTCATTTAAAAAAACGAAGCAAAACAAAAGCGGTGGAACTCGATTATTGTTGCCGCCTTCTTTCGGTAACTTGAAGGAAGGAAATGCGGTTACTTTGAAGAAGAAGAAAAAAGGCAGTTCCTCCAAATTTATTATTTTCTGATCTGTTGCTGATTTGGTCCTCGTGTCGCACAGATCCTGAGGCTAAGAGACAGAGATTTGGAAATATATGTAGAGTATATGTAGAAATAAATCTATGCATTTGTATCTAGCTCTAAACTGACAGATCCTTGTATCCGTTGTCCGATAGACATGCTTTATTTATTTGCTAGATTTATTGCCCTGCTGCTTGCTCAGAAGATAGTATTGATTCAGTTTTGTTGCTTAATGCAGGTCTTCAATTTCTTTTTAGATTTTTTTTCTTAAATTGATCCTACATTGTGATTTTACATCCTCCATCTTGATCTGCTATTCTTTTTTCCTTCTCCAGGTTTAGCATCTGCAATTCATGGTCTGTTCTATGGTCTCCATGGAAAGTGTCCTGACTAGCTAGATTTTAATTCTTCGTAATTTATTTCCTATTATGTAGTTGATTTGATTCCAGTCTGCTGCTGTCCCGAAATAGTTTGTGCTTGAGTTGCTAGAAGCAGGTGTTAGCAATGAACAAAGACTTCACTTTGCAGAACTCTATTAACCGCAATGGTGGGATTCAAATATGTGAACAACCGGTTCTCTGTGTGGATGCTGCTTCAGGAAGTCCATTCTGTGCCTGGACAACAAAAAATTAGCTACCGGTTCTGCCGAACTGGTGTGAACTGGCTGAATCCCACCACTGATTAACTGATTTATTTAAAATCTCCCTCTTTAAGTTGTACCATTTCCCCAACTTTTGTATTGCACAAATGACTACCTTATTAGTAACATTTTGCCTTTCTAGATCCTTTAGTACTTTTTGCAAAATGCTAAAGCAGGAGTATCAAACTGCCGGCCTGCGGGCCAGATGCATCAAAGCGAAACTGCGCCCACCCCATTGCTGGCAATGGCAAAAAAGTCATGATACATCGCAACACATCATGTGACATTGAGTTTGACACCCATGTGCTAAAGGCTAGTGTTTTCCAGTACTGCATTTATAATAAGAGTAGAGTCGTCCTCTAGTTACGACCACATTTGACCCCAAAATTTATGTTACTAAGTGAAAAATGTGTTAAGTTTTGACCCATTTTACAACCTTGCTTGCCACAAAAGCTGATCACATTATCACAGGATATTACAACCGTCATAAATATGAACCAGTTGCCAAGCATCTGGATTTTGATCATGTAACCGTTTGTTAAGTGTGAAAAACTGTCATAAGTCACTTTTTTCAATGCCACTGTAACTTTGAATGTCACTAAATGAACTGTTGTAAGTCAAGGACTACCTGTATACAGTTCTAAGCCATTGAGATTCAATAGATACCCACTAGTTCTAGAACACAGGTGTCAAACCCACCGCGTCACGTGATGTGTCATGACATATTGCGACTTTTTTTCGCATGGCCAGAGCTGGGGTGGATGCGGCCTCTGCATGATGCATCCAGCCCATGGGCTGGCACTTTGACACCCCTGTTCTAGAAAATATGATCCATTTACATGGAAGTAGCTGAATAAATGTTCAGCTATCTGCTTTTTGTGTGTCACTGACTCCGATCCTATATGTGTCCTTATGCCGCAAAGTGTATATCATATCAATTTAATGTAGCCTGTCTGATTCTGATCTAAAGTTTACTTATTTCTAAAACATTTCTGAAACAATTGGTATGCTTCTTTTCCACTATGACAGATTCAATTGTTTCTTAATCCATGTTTTTCACATACTATGTTCTTATCATATGTATCTTTTCATTACTGGCACCATCAATAACCAGCCTTCCGTGCAGCTTTGCTATGGACTGTAACTTTGTTGTCAGATCTCTGGAGGGATTCTGTGCTCTTTCACTATCATTCTGAAATTTGTTTATTGATGGGGGGGGGGGAAGTGGCTAAGTTAGCATTTGGTATCCAATCTGCCTAAATGCCTCAACCAAGTCTATGCAGAATGTTGCATATATTTTTTTTCATAAAAATACAAAAGTGGTTTGCCATTCCTAAGCAAACCACTTCCCATCCTCTGCAGTTGATTTTGAGGTTCCTTCTCTTAAAGACTGGTCATCCTCATTCTTGAAGAGCTAGCTTTCATTCCCTTCCTTTTTCACCTTAATGAAATGGTTGGCCCTACCAGGAGTTTATTTTTGTTTATTTATTACTTTATACAAAGCCACCCATCTCATGTTCTGACTCTGAGTGGTGTAGACAATAAAGCAATCCAAATAGATAAATACCGATTAAAAATACAACCAACATAAATAAAAAGACAAAAAAACCCAAATAAAACAAAAATAAATTTATTTATTTTTAAATGGCAAAAAGATATGTACTGTAGTGAATTCATTTAATCAACCATTATGTAACCATCTAGCAGGCTCTGCTATCATGGGATTCTTTGGCCAGTTTATAAGACTTTGTTTTGAGGATTTTCTAGAACAGAGGTCCCCAACCTTTTGGGCACCAGGAACTGGTTTCGTGGAAAGAGGTTTTTCCGTGGACCGGAGGGTGTGTGGTTTTGTGAGCTGCCTGAATCCCACGGATGGGGCTTTGCTTGTTTCTGTGGACTAGTTGCTGGTATGCTGCAGTCCGGTACCAGTCCATGGACCTGGGGTTGGGGACCCCTATTCTAGAAGGCCAGCAATGTTGTTATTGTTGAGCCATGATGGCACAGTGGTTAGAATGCAGTATTGCAGGCAAACTCTGCCCACAGTCTGGCGTTTGATCCTGACCTGCTCAAGATTGACTCAGCCTTCCATCTTCCGAGGTCAGTAAAATGAGGACCCAGATTGTTGGGGGCAATAGGCTGACTCTGTAAACTGCTCAGAGAAGGCCGTAAAGCACTATGAAGTCTAAGTGCTATTGCTATTCTTATTATAGTGGCATTGTCAGAGTTATTAGAAGTATTGAACCTTCTCGGCACATCAGAGTGGTAACCTCAGAGGAGGCACATCTGCAAAAGGACATTATTCTTCATTTATTACTTAATTTATTTATATATTACATCGTATTATTACACATGTCAACATGGTTTCCAGTCAATTAAAATGTAAATTAAAAACAGTGCATTATAGAATTGTAAAATGCTCAATCAGAAACATCAAAAGAATAATTATACAAAAAGTGCCTACAACTTTCATGCCCCCCCCCCAAAAAAAGCCTGAGTAATAGCTGCTTTAAAAATGCAATTGTAGGGGCTTCATCATTTTCCTGGGATAGAGAGAAAAACTTTACAAAGTGTGAGTACCAGTAACTGCCTAAAAAGGCCAATTCACCAGAGGGCATTCTTCTATTTTCATTACATTTCCAGACCTAAGCTAATCTTCCTGATCGACCCAGAATGTAATGGGCAAAGGCATTCTTTCGTTTAACACAACTTTTTAAGGATCATATGCTGCATGTCAAAAGCATAATCTTGTCTTTGGTCCAAAACTGGCAGCCAACACAGTTGCTTCAGGAATGACGTAACATGTTCAGCCAGTGGCCCTCTCAGCAATCTAGCCAGCATCTTCCACACCAGCTGCGGCTTCAGATCAAATGCAAGAGCACCGCACATAAAAATGCATCACGGTAACCTGAGAATATGAATGTGAGACCCACTGTAGCTCAGGCTTTCCCTGTCCAACCAAAGGTAGCTGGGAGATCAGCCAAACTTGCTGATTGGCATTTTTAGCCCTGAGAAATCATTTGGGCTCCAAAAATAGAAGTGACTTTAGGAGAAGGGACCTCAGCGTTCTTTGAGAGTTTCAGAAGTATTCAGGAATCCATCTTCCAACAAGTCAGCTCCTGCTGTCTTTCGAATTTCCTGCACTATGTATCTTTTGATGACCTTCCCTTCCCTGCCTCCCGCTCCGATCATCATCAATTTGATATGGATCCTCAAAAGCATAGGCAACTGGGGGGGGGGAGGCAGCTTTGTTGGACCCTATAATCCAGTGTTTCTCAACCTTGACAATTTTAAGGCATGTGGACTTCAACTCCCAGAATTCTGGGAGTTGAAGTCCACATGCCTTAAAATTGTCAAGGTTGAGAAACACTGCTATAATGTAACTGCTAAGAGTCAGAAATGGCAGTTGTACTGCTCTCTGAGGCCATTCCCATAAGTAGGAATGGAACCACTTGTCACCCAGGGTCCCTAACTTAATTTGCAGTCCAGACTGTCTGGAAGGATACTTTGGTTAGCCCAGGGGTAGGCAACCTTGGCTCTTTTAGGACTCGTGGACTTCAACTGCTGGCTGAGGAATTCTGGGAGTTGAAGTCTATGAGTCATAAAAGAGCCAAAAGCTGCTGACTAGTAAGCAAGATCAACTCTTCTGCAGGTGGTTGTCTCTCACGGCAATCATGACTGATTCTATCCCAGCAGGGTTTATAGGCAGTGCCATGTATGGCTATTTACTCTGGAAAGGAAATGGCATTGTCTCAAGCAGAATCTGATCCCTCATAATTTAATTACATTGCAACCCTTGCTATGCTTATTTAGAAGTAAACCCCGCTGATGACAAGGATTTTGCTAAAGGAGAGATCATTCATAAAATGGCGTGTATGAATTGTCCTGCGTAGTTACAAGTTCAGATCGGTGTGGTTAATGGCTAGCATGGCTGGCTCAGGAATTCTGGGAGTTGAAGTCCACGAGTCATAAAAAAGCCAAGGTTGCCTATCCTTGGACTAGGCCAATCACCGTCTTTCAGCTCAATCAATATCACAGGGTTGTTTTGTCATAAAACTGAAGGAATTCTTCTTCCAAGGTGTAATTTGAGAAAATGGAGCTCCCTGAAGTCTGGCTTTATAATAAATATCTTTGTCGTCCCCTGTGGAGATTTTTCTCTTTAACCATTTAATACCATCTCATACCCTTTTTGACATTAATATACAAGCCAAACATGTAAACGTAGCTGAGATGTCTTTTATCTCTTTTATTGTAGAAAAATGTTAATGCAATTTAATACATTTAAATTCCATAAAACAACTCCATAGAAATTAGAATAATGTAAGCATGCAGTCTGCATTTTCTTCCGTTAAGATGTCCTGGGCTCACAAAAAAGAACAACACTTTCATTTTCATTGAAAGCCACTAAAAGCAGAGAGGCTGCAAACCATGCAACACTATACTCATTTGCATAGTATATTGTACCCAGCATGCCTGTAGAATGCTACACGTATAATATCTATAGAAGTAAAAAAGAGGAAAGGAAGAACAAAAGGAAAAGAACTCAAAAGGAAATGTCTAATACTTTTGATTGGGTAACATCGTACATTTTTTTTACTCCCAGATTATTGGGCTCAAGTGTTGGTCCTCCTGTCCAGATTAATTCAGTGGGAAATGAATCTATGTTAATGATAAAGAGGAGTTCAGGATGGATTAATAGGCATTTTTCAAGATTTCAAATTCAGGTGCTTATTTTTTAACCTTACAATTCCATTTTGTGTGCCTAGGATCCTAGGTAGAATTTCAAGTCTAGCACAATTTTTCCACTGGATAGTGTCTTTTTTATAGCCATTCACAACCACAGTCACTGTACAGCTCCATCCATCAAAATATCCTTTTCCCCCTACCAATCATAGGAGCTACAATTGTTTCAGCAACGAATTGTTCAACCCAGGTTTAATCTTTCTGCAACTGTTATTATTTCAAGGAACACTGTTAGAACAATAAAGCGTTCACTGAGATATTTGCTAAGTATGCCCCATTTGGGGATACCGATAGTCCTCGACTTACAACAATTTGTTTAGCAACTGTTCAGAGTTATGATGACACTGAAAAAAAGTGACTTACAACTCTCGTGACCATCACGTGTCCCTACAGTTACATGGTCATAATTCAGGTGCTTGGCAACTGGCATGAATTTATGATGGTTACAGTGTCCCAGGATCATGTGATCACCATTTGTGACCTTCCCAGCCAGCTTCTGACAAGCAAAGTCTAGGGGGAGGCACTGGATTCACTTAATGACCATGTGATTCGCTTAACGACATGACAAAAAGGGTCAAAGTCAGACATGATCATGTGATGATTCACTTAATAACTGTATCACTTAGTGATGGAAACTGCAGTCCCAATTGTAGTCATAAGCCGAGGACTACCTGTATTATGGGCAAAAAGCATGAATTCAAATTGACACACATTTAGAGTGCTTGTTGTACAAAACAGGAAGAAGAAAAAAGAAAAGGTTCTATCAATCCAGCCTGTTGATTTTGAGTTAATTCATCCTATATTTAACCCAAATGAAATTGCTTATGAAAATGATGATTTGAAAATGAACCGCTGAAGAAGTCCGACATAAATGATAAAAAGACTGAAAATATCAGTTTGGAATCTGGAATCAGTACACTATTTTTTTTAAAAAAAAAAAATCAATGCCTAAGATAGCAATGGGATAATAACTTGTGCTATTACAAATGTGCTTTTCTCTCTATTAGTGACAAAATACATTTTGCTAAAAACTGTTATTGTACATTATGATAGTTCACTGCATGGCTTGACCTTTTTTTTAGTATTAATACACTGCAGTAAATCATAGCAGTTTTGGCAATAGAATGTTGGCTTTTAAAATAACTTTCAGAATGCAAATATAACATATAAAAATACTGAACGGGCATAGTATATTCTCTCTCTGATTTGTTCCTTTAGTGGAACCCACTTCCAGTAATAAATCTGTAGCTGATAGCACAAGTTAACAACATTCCAAAATAATGGAATGAGCTCTCCATTGTTAAATCTATTGGTGCCTGAGGTTAAAAAAAAAAAAAGCAACTTTACTGAACACTATTAATCCAATCAAATATTGTCCATACTCCTTATTTTCTACATTAATTTCAAAGATGATCATTACATTAACTGTTCTATGATTGTTTTTTTATTTGATGTCTCTAAAGTATTATACTTGGAACAAAGAATGAAATAAAGAAATGGCATTTTTGTCTCTGTGTGCTAGGTATTTGTAAAAAAAATATTGTAAATAGGAACAAATGGTTCCTTTATGTATGATTTCATATATTTTCTACTTGATAGAATTTGCAACCCTTCACTTACTCTTTCCTTATGTTAGTAGTTGAAACGTTGTTGTTTTCAGCTAAATTGGCAGGATTAGGTTACCAATGTTTAATTTAATCAAAATGCATTCATTCTTGAATACTCATTAGGTGAGGAATGATTTGATGATGATGTCTTTATTTTATTACCACTGTACACACCTCAGCTTTTTAAAATGTAAAAGAACAAAAATTACTGGGAGCAAAATAAATCACAGCCGAACAAACTTAATTTGACCAAATTAAGTGTACAAATTAGATTAAAGAAAAATCTACATTGATAATACCTTGCTGTTTCAGGTTGGAGTACAGTATTCAATGTGTGGAAGTATTTTATGAACAAAACATAATTTGCCTTCCTAGCCAAATTTACATGTTAAATTCTACAAATAAGCAGTTCGCTTTATTGAGTTCAGATTAAAAGTCCCAAGTCAATAAGTTAATCACTTTAAAATTACATGGGGAACAAATAATATTGTGCATTTTAATAGGGCATTTTAAAAAAAAGATGAAATAGCTCAATGTAACCTAGCATTGCAAAGCTCAGTTAATGAGATTCCACTGAAATTGAAATTTCCAGATGGTGAATCAATCAGAAGGCCCCTGTTGTTGGCCATAGAAATGGCTATAATCAAGTTTTACCAGCAACTTTTAACTACAATTCCCATCATTAATTGCTTTTCCTTCAGCACTGTGGATTAGGCTGCAGGGTTGTTACAGACAGTATTACTAAGCGTGGAGTATCTTTAATAGTTACACTTAGCTAGTTTTTACATTTGTGAGATCTGCTCCAAAAGTTACTCTTTTCTTATGAGAAAACCAGATCCATGTAGGAAAATACAGGTAGTCCTCATTTAACAACCACAATTGGGATTGGCAACTTTCTTTGCTAAGCAATGAGGTCATTAGATGAAACATCATGCAACCATGACAGACTTAAGTCACTCCCAACATGGGTCATTAAATGAATCATCCGTCATTGAGACATCACATGATAGTGACTTGCAATTTTACTGCCAGCTTCTCCATTGACTGCTTGTTGGAAGCCAGCTGTGAAGCTCACAAATGGCAACAAGGTGACAATGGGATGCTGCAACAGTCATAAATGTAAGGACTGGTCATAAAATTACTTTTTCAGCACCACTGTTAAGTCTGAATGGTGGCAAAACAGGTAGTGAGTGCTACCTGTACAATTAAAGCAATATATAGAAGATCATTCTCAACATGGAGGCAGCATGTTGAGAATCCATTTTCTTGCATTCACCTAAAAAGACATGCATTGTCATATTGCACATGTATATTTTGCACATTCTAAAATGCAAATGATTCAAAATATAGTGTTGAAATTCTGAACCCCAACCACTGTTTTAGAAAACAACATTTTACTTTGTTGTTTGAAAGAAGGAATGCCTATCAACTTCCTGAATTGAGGTTCATAGGTAGTAATCTGAGAAAATGCCATAGGAAATCCCTTGCAAAATTCCCTGGTTACCATCCCTTTCCTTTGGGTGGGAGGCAAAAATGGGATCATTCTGCCAGTTTTCCGAACAGTTTCTATTGCTGCTGCTTTATTTAAACCAGTGTTTCCCAAACTTGACAATTTTAAAGCATGTGGACTTCAACTCCCAGAATTCCACAGCCAGCGTTGCTGGCTGTGGAATTCTGGGAGTTGAAGTCCTCATGCCTTAAAATTGTCAAGTTTGGGAAACACTGGTTTAAACAGTGCTGTTTGATAGTAACATTAGGCATTGTACTGATTTGCCCCGAAGATCATTTTGTATCTCAAATTTTGCAAAAGCAAACATATTAAAAAAGTTTTTAAAACTTAAAACTTTCAAAAGTTTAAGTGTTGTTTGTTTGCTTCTTCAACAAAATTTGATCGGCCAAAAATTAGGCCTACAAGCTTTACTATCACTTTCTTTCCTTAGCTAAAACCTATTTGTAATACATTCAAAGGAACCTGCACAAAATCTGGAAGTAATTATTGTAAAGACACTAGAAATGTTAGGGTACTATATTTGTCCTTCTTCCTCACACAAAGGACATTTTCTAAATCAGTGGATTGGGCCATACAGTATCTGCTGCAAAGGAACTGATATGGCAACTTGAACTGATTTTTTTTCTCTCCTCTATCTCTTCCAGATAGGTTGAAGGATCCTTTGAAGCAGATTTTGGGATACAGCAATGGAGAAGAAGCTAAAGCTATTACCTGAAAATTTATTTAAATCAGGCATGTCCAACCTTGCAGCAGAATTCTGGGAGTTGAGGTCCTCAAGTTGCCTAGGTTGGACACCCCTGATTTAGATGATAATGGATCTCTACGTCTATATACATACGTCCCAACAGAAGTTAATTAAAAATTACACAAAGGAGCTTTTGTGGTTGGAAAATACTGTTTTGAGTCAACTATAAATTCATGCAGATTGTACGCATTATGGAAATTTAATCTGAATGGTTAAATTATTGTAACTATTTCTTTAATTAGGTGACAGCTTTGCCAATATGTCATTTTTATTCATCAACTATACTTTCAGAAATTCTTTTTCATTATTGTTACAGATTCTCATTCCCAAATGCAATAGCTGGCCTTCCACCCTCCCCCAAATAAGGAGAAGCAAATAGATGGAGTCAGCCCTAAAAGATAGGGAAACCCAGAAAAGATTAAAAAAAAAAAAAAGAAGTGAACAGTGGATATATTAGATGTCCTTAATGCTCTGCACATTTTTATAATCTCTTTAGCCTACCTGATGTAAAAGAATTTCACTGGGGTAAACCAGAAAGCCTCCCCCCCCCAAAAAAAACCCAACCATCAATTATAGTGCCCTTATAAGAGGTAAATAGCACATTATCATTTCTAAAGCAAAGATCCTATCAAGTTTGTTTATTTGTATCCTACCCTTATTTTTATAAATAACTCAAGGTGGTGGCAAACATGTTCAACACACCTTCCTCCTGCGATTTTCCCCACAACCACCACCCTCTGAGGTGAGTTGGGTTGAGAGACAGTGCCTGGCCCAGGGTTACCCAGATGGATTTCATGCTAAGGCTGGACTAGAATTCAGGGTCTCCCAGTTTTTAGCCTAGTGACTAAACCACTAGACCAAACCGACTCTTATCAAGTAGAATAATTCTGAGTTAAACTCCCCTGAGCTTCAGAATGTCCAAGAGTTATATTCTATTATGGATATCAAAGCACACTTCAACTTAAGTTCGAAAACAGAGTTTTAGTGAGCGGTTATGGTTCAATTGTACATAGGAGGCTTTGCTGTAGAGTTTATTTTAATAAACAGCATGGATCTAAAACATTATCCAATAGTTTAGGTTTCCGTGCCATGATCAATTTCTTTCAATTACACAGACTGCAAAAATAACCTCTTAACAATCAGATCTTGAAAATGCAGCTTGGCAAAGCAATCAAGGCAGAGGGAAATAATCCATTTAACAAGGGAGGCCTCTCCCTACTATTCAGTTATTTGTGCAACACCCTAGCTAGGGGAAATATTTTTTTTTATAGGAGCAAAAGTGCAGCCAATGCACTTCTGCCTGCTTTCAAAAGCTTTGTAAAGATGCATCCTAAGGCAATCGGCTCAGGACAGATTTCTTTTCTCCCAGAAAGCAAATTAGAAACAACCCTCAAATGTCTTAAAATTGACATACACAGAGATACACTTTCTTAAATATTCTGAAATATCTGTAAACTGCACATAACGTTTTAGGAACCTGATCAGGATACGAAGCAGGGTAATACTGTTTTAATAAGGATTCACATTATAACCGCAAAATCATTCCTACACTGAATCTTATGCGAATCTGCATGGAAATCACCCTTAGAATCAGCAGGCTTATGCCCAATCTTAGTTTACATAGAATTGCAGTCACAGTCTTATTCTTCATTAATTTCACAGAAAATCACCAATCAAACAACAATACTGCTGAAAACCGAACATACATTTTTTTATAGTTTAAATAGGTTGAATAAATATGGCAATACTCTATTCCGCCCCCCCCCCCAGCCCCATTTCCAAAGAAGAGAAGAAAAGGCATTTACTTAATTGAAAATTTGTTACCTGTTATATTCTGGGCTCTAGTTAGTCAAGATGGAAAAAACATTTGCATACAGATTGTTTGGAAGCACCAAGCCATTCAGGAAAGGCCTGTATGCCTCTATGGAGTACAATTTCCAGCAGACTTTCCCACTGACGTGTGTGTGTGTGTGTGTGTGTGTGTGTGTGTGTGTGTGTGTGTGTGTGTGTGTGTGTGTGTGTGTGGAGAACCACTGCTCTACTGGATTGTAGTATAAAATGTTAAGTAAAAAACGGCAACTGCCATGCTAGCAAGCAGAAGCTCAACACCATAGCATTTCGTTTAGCCAAATTCACTATTCCCTGCAGTGATATCCACGGTGTTGTAATTATAGTGAGAAACCCACTTAAACAAATTTAGGAGTGCTGATGGCAGCCATTAGCCTGGAGAGCTTTTTACAGATCTGTGAATGGCCTTTAATCAGTCATCGTCATCACCATTACCAGCTCAGAGGCATAACGTTACCAAGAAATGATGTTTTGATTACGGAATATAAATAAAGGATGCACATTATCTTTATATCCTATTTTGCCTGGGAGTATCACTGCACTTTGTTAGAAACTTATAAAAGGATTAGGAATTGTGAACTGATCCATCAATGATCGATATTACTATGCTATTAACTAACTGGGACTTACAGTGGCTTCTGAATACACAATTGGGATGACCAAAAATTGCCAGTTTGCAAAACTATATGTTCTCCAACTCCTTCCCCATTTAAGTTTTCAAATCTACCTAACTATTCTGAATACAAATTAAGACTATTTTTGAAATAATTCTATTTGCAGTCTTATATAATCACTGAACCAGCATCTTTGGATTATACTGAATCTCAGATCAATTCTATACCATCTTATTCAGAAGGGGAGGGGGTGAAACAAAAGAACCCAGACCACAGAACCTAAAATGAAAGTTGCTTGTTAACTTACTTAAACAAGATAGCTTGGAAAATATATCCGTTGGAGCTGTACAATCCTTTTTATTTACGTGGAATGCATACAAATATGAATGCAGCTCTGGTAATTTGTTAAAGGATTTGTATCTTCCCAAGAGCAGCCACAGAGTTAGAGAAAAAGATGCAATTAAGTTCATGGATCAGTCAGAGATGCTGCCTGCATTCATGCTCCTACATTTCCAAAGCATCTCTTCCCAGTTGAATCCAACAGTATATTTTTCAGAAATTACTTTCAACATTAAAAGAAGGCTACACCATGATTGAAAAAGTAATTCTGATAGGGTTTCTTTTTCTTAAAAATATAATCATCAATTGCAATAAAGGAGTTCGCATTTATGCTGGGGTGCTGTGCAGAATTTCTGATGTGGAAGTGCCATTTATCATTACTCCCATTCCATAAACAATAGCAGTAACCCTTTACTTTAATACCACTATCATGTTTTCAACAATATAGAGACTTCACAGAGAGTACCATCAGAACTGAACAATTTTACAAATACATTAAGGGTAATATACATAAAGATAACTAGAATCCAGCCTGATTCCTGATAATTTCATAGACAAGCAGCAATACAGATGTGGTTTGCCACTGCCTTTTTTCTGGATTTTTAAAGTAAATTCAGCTTTATCTTAGTGGTCTCCTATTGAAATACTAACCAGGTCCAACTCTGTTTAGCTTTCTGAGATCAGATTCCCAAACTACAAATGGAGAATAACTAAAAGATCACTAATTTAGTTTTAAGGATTAAGGAAATCGAGGAAAAAGCAATAGAGGGCAATGACACAGGAAAAATAGAGATACTGCCTTCCTGTCTTGTTTCCATGGAAACTAAAGAATTTCCTTCCTCTGTTTATTTTTTGTTTTCTTCTTCTTCTTCTTCACTTTATGTGCTTGGGCCTTTTCCTCTGGGAAAAAAAAGCATTGCTTTGGCAGGGAGAAGATTGGAAAATAGTGCACAAGCAATAACATTTCATTTAAAAAAAAAAAAAAGATGGCCTGCCTCTGTTTCTGACCCATTACACAACTAGTTGCGAGAGTTTCTTTCTGAAAACATACCAGAATTCACAAACCACACAAACGTTTACCCTGTAGTACATATAGGTTTTTCTTTGTTGAGAATCTGATGTGATCTGCAGAGAGGACTTCTGTGATGCTTCTTGGTTTAGGCTTATTTAGGAGTTCTGTGTTCTCACATGTGCATATGTGCATGCCTTGGAATCATCTTTTGACTCCTAGCAACTGCCTAGACGAGGTTTTTCGGAAGTGGTTCACCACTGCATCATTGCATCTTCCTAGGCCTGAGAGAGTGCCTAGCCCAAGGTCATCCAAGTGACTCCGTGCCTAAGGTGGGACTAGAATTCACCATCTACCTTGTTTCTAGCCAGGTGCTTTCACCGCCACACCGGAATTGGTTTTCCGGTGCTCTATAGTGCTTCCAATTGGAAAGCAAAGCTGTCTTTCCAAGTGTGGGAAAGCACTGTAGGCATGTAACCCATTTGCAACTCTTGAAGGTAAATGTGCTTTTTCTTGGGATAGTGGGGCAGAGGGTAACTCAGGAAAAGCTGCTGCCGCTTCTGCTTTGAGCGGTAGGGAGGTGCTACCTGAGCATCCCCAGGTGTGCCAAACCCTCTTTTTACCTTTCAATTCAAAGTGCCAGATAGCAATACTGGGCATACTATTTGTTATATGTTGGGAGTACATGCTCTTTGTGCAAGAAGGACTCCTAGAAAGGGTTCGGAGGTGCTGCTTCCTGAAGGAGGTTAGTAAATGGGGCTTCTTATTCAGCTATATCAGGATGCACAGCATCTAAAATTGGCCAAGCGATTTGGCATGTCTGGGAGCAAAACCTCAGAAACAATGCTGTCTATGCCTTGCAATAAACAAACACTAAAAGGGAAAAAAAATGATGCTCAATGATCCGAAAAATTAAGTTTCCCTGTAGTCCAAACATACCGAACCCATATTTCTTTCCAACAAGCTATAACCACATCATTGTCAAACATATCTTTCTCTCTAAGATGCTCCAATTTATTCCTCCTTGCTGTTAAGTGTAGTTATTCATCTTTGTTATCTTAACAAAACCACTTCAGCTATATACAGATTTTATTCTCAGAACAGTGGTACAGATAGTCCTCAAGTTACACCCATAATTAGCCCTTCAATTGCTAAGCAATGAGAGTATAAAGCAAGATGTGTAGAGACTGCAATTCCAGGAAACAGCATTGCTATGGTTAAGCAAATGTTATTGATCATTAGCTGAGGACCCTGCCAAATCCACTCAAGGCTTGGTCTGTCCCAATCTCAAGCCTCAACTCCCCCACTTGCTTATCCCCCCCCCATCACTGTCCTTTTGGCTATCCTTGTGAGATGGGCAAGCAGCCCCCAAACTGCCTGGCTCTAGGTTGCTTACTATGTTCCAGGAAGCCACAGCCACCCCAGATCAATCCCAGTTACCCTTACTACCTGCACTCCAAAGCCACTGTTGCACTATGCGCCACCAACCCAGGTGATAGCAATAGCACTTAGACGTACATATGCTTCATAGCGCTTTACGAGCCTCTCTAAGCAGTTTACAGAGTCAGCATATTACACCCCAACTATCTGGGTCCTCATTTTACCGACCTCGGAAGGATGGAAGGCTGAGTCAACCTTGAGCCGGTCAGGATCGAAACCCTGCTGGAAGCTGGCAGAATTAGCCTGCACTGTGGCATTCTAACCACAGCGCCACCACGGCTCTTTCCTGCCTTCTTGCTTCCATTGCTGACTGCCTGGAATGTTTGTTGGGCCACGCTGGGGCTGGTTTCACCTTGTGATAAAGAAAAATTTAGACTGCTTTTGGCTTTTTCTTTGTCACAGAACAACTGTCAAGATTCAGTCCGGCCCAGCCCCAGAATGCCTCCTCAGCAGTGGTAGCAAGTTGGCGGTGAAGACAAACAGGCTTGGCAGGAAGCCAAAAGGGCAGAAGATAGGCCTGCAGTAGTGTGGGCGGGCTGCCAAGCACCTGAATTTTCATCATGTGACCACACGGGTGCTGCAATGGCTATAACTTTAGGTATGGGCTGAAGTTCCTACGTTCAATGAAGAAGTGGTCGTTAAGTTGAGGACAGTCTGTATTTTGATGCAAGGGAAAACAAAAAACTTGCCCAGCCAGCCCACTATTTCCAACAAGTTAAAAATGTGGTAATATAAATTTTAAACAAACATACTGAATTGGGTTTACAATATCAACAGGGACTAAATAACAACTCCACCCTCTCCCAAGCTGCTTTATTTCCCAAATTTTCATTCTAAAAATTTTAGCTATATGGTTCCCCCCTCCCCCGCTCTGTCTAATAAAGAGTGTGAGATCAGTGCAAATTCTATTTATGCCTTACTTTCTCAATCCTTACACAAATCCAAGTAAATGTGTTTGGGGCTATTTCCTCAGATGAGATTTATAGCACCTTCAAAAGTCACCCAATCACCAGTGTGCCAAAATAATAATAAAGCAAATAGCTATATATCAGTTCAGCAATGGCTAGATGATGTTATGAAGTGCCATAAATTGCTACTGGAGAAATGGCCTAGAGCTGTTGCTTCAATTGCCCTTTTAAAGTGGACATTACCAGCAACATATCTCTAAAAGAACAGAGGTGTTATCTTGTCAACTAAACAAAAGGCTTCATATATTAAAGCAGGAAACTAAGACCTCTTTATGACCTGTGGACTTCAACTCCCAGCATTCCACAGGTCGTGAAGAGGGCATAGTTGCCGATCCCTGTATTAAAATAAGGGGAGGGTTCATCTAATTCTTATTTGGAGCTTCTTTTTTAAGGCTTACCTTCTTCTTGTGTGTAGGCCACTTCCAAATAGACATCTTCTAAAGTTGCTAGGGAAAACACTTTTCCTCCTTTAATTACAATTTTGGGGCTGGAAAAAAAAATCCAGAGAAGCGTCAGATAGCAGCTAATCTCTTTCTTGCCATCTAGCGGTTCTCTGAATTTTTGCAGCTAAGGGCTATCCTAACAAAAGTTTCTTAAAAATCACAAAGAAGTGGAGAAACGTGAAAGTTACAAATCAAAGAACTCATCATCAAGATTCTCCCCATCCAATAAAATGCTATGTTTGAGACAGGACAAGCATGCAATGCAAGCTGAATTAGAAGACTCTGTCTATTGTGTAACAGCCTAAGATGGTCATAAAATATAATTTCCCGAAATAAAAACATACAACTCTAAATACAGTTAAGGAATCAGCTTTTTCTAATAAACTCTGTTCTTCAAATGTCTGGTTTCAAATGCAACACTGTAAGTAGTCCTCCATTTACAGCCATTTCCATTGAAGTTACAATGGAAGTGAAAAAAGTGACTTGACAGGTTTTCACATTTACAAACCGTCGCACCATCTCCATGGTCAAATGGCATATAGATCTATGAGAATTGCACTGTCCTGGGGTCATGTGATCACCCTTTATAACCTTCCCAGCTGGCTTCCAACAAGCAAAGTCATTGGGGAAGCCGGATTCACTTAATGACTACATGAATCACTTAACAACTGCAGAAATTCGCTTAACAACTGTGACAAAAAGGGGACAATACTTACTTAACAATTGCTTTGCTTGGCAACAGAAATTTTGGGCTCTGCTGTGATTGTAAGTCAAGGACTACCTGTATAGGAAATATTTCCAATAATATGCAAGTTTGGGGACTACATTAAAGTGCTGGCGGTCTGAAGATACCCTGTCCATCAAGGAGGCTCCAGAATGATACAAACAATGCCATCAAATATTCCACCCAGATTACACCATCAGCAGCAGTCAATTACAGAGATGATTCTACAACAAGCTCCCTGCTTTTGCATTCATTCTTATAGAGCATGTAATATTATGGTAGGAAATGAACCTTTTGTCTGGCCAACTTGGATACGTCTTCCTTGCTGGTTCTGACTGTCCTTTCCACCTTAACTCCAAACAACTAAAGGGCACTGCAACTCCACAGCCCATTGACTGTCTATATAAGCAGATTTGTGCTGGAGTGCTGGTCTCCGTTATGAGGTAAAATTCATGACCTGAGATTTGATGGTCAAATACAAAAATGTCTACTTTGCAAGTATCCAGTATGTAATGGGAAACGCGTACGCCACTTTTCAATTTCCTAATATTTGAAGAGTTCCTCAGAACCTCAAAATCGATTAACGTCATGTATGATTTGGCATTCTGTGTGCTAAAATGAAGGCCTCTGATATATGATAAACCTCATGCCCTATGCTTTGATGGTTAAATATGAGTATTTCTGTTCCAGTTACCTGAGTGCCTTATGATATGTATATATTTAAAGTATTTCTGGAGAGTAGTGTGCTCATTTGGAGGAAAATATATATATAAATACCACCCTATGTCACACTTCAATTTTTTAACTGTCTAAACATACTTTAAACTTAGTGGGGAAAGGTAGAGAAGTGTCCTATTCAATTCCTTCATTTGCTCTATCCTAGCAATCAGGTATATATCAGTTGTACGGACATTATTTTATCTTTGTCAAATTAAGGTAACCTTGGTTCATTTCACATTATTGGCACAGCCCTTCTTAATATAGCTATTTGTGCACTTTTTCCTTGTATCAAACTCTTTGTACAATTTGTTTAGAGCTCACTTGTATGTTCTGCTCCCTTTCTAGTACTTCAATCTTGCCTACTTTTTACAAAATCTGTTCCTCAAACAGCCATCTTCTGCAGAAATATGAGCATTAAAATCTTGTATTAAATATATTGGTCAGAAGATTCTCTCTCTGTATTCCTTACTACCATTTTGTAATTATTAAAAGCATTGTGGAAAATAAACACCATGCTTGCCACTTTGAGAACAATCTGAGATGCGAAGTGTATGTTATATTGTGTGATGCTACGTTTTCTGACATTTCTAGACCTGACGTTCCTTTACTGACCAAAACATTTCCTTAGGGATGTCTTTATGAAGTTCTGGCATGCCAGAGTTTTTCCATCCTTTTCAATAAGGACACACCCTATGCATACAAACGGCTGCATGTGGTCAGTGCTGCTTTTTCACTCCAGGAAGGAAGGAGAAGCAGGAAGTCCAGATAAGGGCTGCAACACATTCGAGATCAGGATCCTGGTGGAAGGCCAACAAAGCATAATTATCACGGTTGTACTACTTTTGATGGAAAAGGTTAAGGATGTTTGGTGGATATAATTTTCAGACTAGGAAAACAGTACACCTCATTCTATAACACGATAAAGAGAACAGGTCATCATGGTTCAGGAATTCACATGCCAAATAAGCACTCAAGACTTTGGGGAAGCCTTATCGTAATACTGCTTCCTCTTGTGCTTTGGCTGGATTAAATCTCTTTCTTGACTATAAAGCAGTGTGAACGATGTCATGTTATTCTTTCCTGTGAAACACATTCAACTTTTAATACGTTTAATGCACAGAATAAAATCCAAATATAAACACCTCTTTTTAACTCTTTGCAAGATTTTTTTTTTTTTTTGACAAACCAGGATACTAGATCAGACATGTCAAACTCGCGACGTCACGTGACATCACACAACGTATCGGAGCTTTTTCGCTCTGCCGGCAATGGGGTGGGCGCAGCTCCGGTGTGATGAAACCAGCCCATGGGCCGGCAGTTTGACATCCCTGCACTAGATGGATAGGATTCTTGTGCCTGTTTTCATTCTTCTGCAAATCATCTGGCTGAACCGGACTTTCCTTGTTGAGGCAAAGCCAAAAGCTCTAATCTCATCTTCAGTGCTAAGGTATAAATAAGGAACAGGAGAGAAGTTATCCCTTTCCTAGTTCTCATATACTTAGATCTGTGCCATCACAGACTTGGAACATGCAGAAGACCCTTCATGCATAAAGCTGTACGCACCAAGAGCACTGTTCACACCTTCTAGGTTCAATGAGTGAAAATCCACTTCATCTGTGCTGCAGATCATGCATTCATTTCCATGTTTTCAAAACATGCCTGCCTTCACCTCTAGTTTATTTCAAGTTGCTGAAATAGTTTCGTATGATCTAGCAAATGCAAAAAAATATCAATGTGATAGAGGTTTGCTGCAATATATAAGCGGGGGAGAAAAAAATCCACTTATGTTTTTTAAAATGGAAAGGATTCGAGCTTTTCCATTCATTCATTATTTTTGGCACAATTGACTGCTTACATTTGGTAGTCTGAAATAAATACATTAATATTATTTATTCTAACCGTATCTATAGCTATATATAAATTCACCTTCCAGTAAACAAGTACTAGAGATTTTTTTAAAATATTTTTTTTGCTTATAATGATTTTGTAATTTACTCTCTCTTCATTTTACTTTTTTTTTTCACTGACTGCAACATGCTCAGGTTGACTTTCCAGTCAATTTCACCCAAATTCCAACAGGAATTGGTTTATAAATTGGTTCCAACTGGAACTGGTCATTTGGAATTTCCGTAACAGGAAATTATCATATATGCGCTTCAACAGGTATTCTACGTTACAAATTGATGTGTCTAATTATATCTAATGGAGAGAAAAGATAACAGTTTGAAATGAAACATTACCTGGGAAAGGAAACACATCTAAGTGTTTGGGCAAACTTGTTTCTTTCTAAAGGAAAAGGGCATTATCTATCTCAGTGTTTCTCTACCTCAACAACTTTAAGATGAGTGGACTTCGCCTCTGGGAATTGTTTTCTTAAATTCTTAAATTTGCTGATGTTGAGAAACATTGATCTACCCTCTTTTGCCCTTCTAGAGCATGAAATCACAGCAGCCTGTAAGCATCAAGATGCTTTGTTTGGCCTAGCTATGTTACAACAGCAGGTGGCCAACCAATGAATACCATGTGCCCCCAGGTTTGTCAATTCAAAGCCTCTGTCGGGAATCATGGCTATATCCTCCAGGAGATCCCCGGTTTCTTTGAGGTTTATATGAGTCTTGATACGAATCAGAATACTCTTCTTCCACCAGAGGATAGTGATCTCGGCTGTGTTGGGAACTGGAAGACAAGCGGTTCCTGCTCTTCCGAGCTCTTTCGTTGTGGTAATTTTCATCCGAGGTCATTAGACTTCGTCGTTCGATTGGAGAATTCTCGGTAGAATGGTTGCTATGCCTCAGACGTTGGCTCTATAAATAGCAAAGCAATCAAACATTAAAAAGGGGGGGGCTGTAAGTTTGTGTCACTCTTCTGAATTTGTTGCAAGTTTGTCCTGAAATCGTTCGTTTAGCAGATAAACTGGCTGTTATTTAATATATTTAAGCTCACCATCTGCTTTCAAAAGCTGAGGTAAAAAAAACAGCAGAATGTGGTGCCTTGATTTAATTTAAAATACTTGGCAATGAGAACAAAAAGAATCACATCCTGGGTATACTGCCTGATGAAAAATTTAAAAGCCATCTTTTAAAATTTCAAAATGAGGCCTATCCTGAACAAACTCTTAAAACAGGCTTCTGTTGATGTTCTAAATTCATCTGCTTTTCTTTCCATGCTTTATAGAAGATCTGAAATATTTCACTGCTCAACTCCTGCCCTGTATTACTTAACTTACCTTCACCCTACATTTTTTGCTCTATCTATACTGGATGAATTGATATTTACATCTCTTAATAGTGGATTATGAGTAACTTCCTTAATCTCCAAATTCTTCAAATCAAAGGTATAATCCTTGAGTGAGGGCTGCAATATATCACTGCTATTTTCCTTCTGTTTGCTGAGAATTCTAGAATTAAGTAGGTGACAGATAAGTAAAGCAATATTATTTCCCATCTACTAAAATCTGGAGTAACTACAATGGCTAGTACTAGCTCCCAGATAACCTGCAGACACTGTAGGCATGTTTAATATGATTTGCAAGCTGGCGCAAAGGCTCTTATTATTTAGTATACAAACTAAGATTCACTGCCCTATATTGAGAAACATATATATAGTATGGTCC